GCTCATTGGGGATTAGCCTAGGGTGTGTCCAGAGTGCTAGCAGGTAGCTGGATGGGTGGATGGGATGGGTTTTGAGTTGCTTCATCCTTGTTAGACCAGGTGATGAAGTAAAGAAGGAAGAGATTCATAAACTTGCTAGGATATTTTTCTTCCTGTCCATCATTCTCAGGTTTTTTTTTGTTATCTGACTTCTCAGTTTTCTTTCATTGTAGTTTCTTCCCTATTGTACATAGGAACTTCTGGGAATGTTGCTGGGCTTTCCCCAGTGAGTGATATGACCTGCTGCAGAATCTGTGATTTCAGGAGGAGAACGGTGAGCCTGGATTTGTTTATTTGCACATTATGGTTGTTGTGTGTATGTGTGTATATGTGTACATCTTTCTGCTTGTGCTGAGGCCAGAGGAGGTCAGGTGTTCTCTGTCCCTCTAGCTTTCCCCATGAGAGAGGGTCTTTTACTGAACTTAGATCTAGGCTGGGACCCGGCACGCCCAGAGAATGCCATATTTCTGCCACCCACAGCACTGAGATAACAGATAACATGGCCACTTCACTGTCTTCTTCTGGAACTCAGGTCTTCAGGCTTGTGCGACAAATGCTCATACTTGCTATACTATCCCCCAGGTCCCCAAGCCTATCTTTGTTTGTTTGAGACAGCCCTGGCTGCCCTGGAAATCTATGTTCAAGACCAGGCAGGCTTTGAATTCATAGAGATACCCTCATGTATGCCTTCTGAGTACTGGGATTAAAGATATGTGCCACCATGATCAGCCCAGCCTAAGCTTTAAGTAGGGAGTGATTTGAGTGCCTAATGATCATGTTGGAGGATGTGTGCATTTCTGCTTTGTTTGAAAACAGGGCATGCTCTTGGCTGCTCTCCTGGCCTGGGGTGGCCTCAGGAGGAGAACAAGATGTAAGAAGGATGCAGAGAGTCAGTGTGGCCCTTCTTAAAGGAATTCACCCAAGGCAGGCATCAAAGCCTCGTAGAGAGCCAGCTCACTGCCTCTAGTCTCCTTGCTTTCTGCTGCACTCCTCATCTCTCCTGTCTGTTCCTCCAAACACCCTTTGCAAACCCTTGGTTTCTCACGCACAGTCTAACTGCACACGAGGCATGAGGAATGAGCCTGGGTCAGCGCTGGAAGTAAAGTATGTCTCTTCATCAGGGGAAGTCTTATCAGTACCCTAGTAATACAGAGAACAGGACACCGGTAAACATGCACACACAAACCTGTTTCAGATTCACCAACAAATCATGATTATTTTCCTCCCCAAAACAGCATACTCATTTTGCATCTTTCCTGAAGTAGCCTATTTTGTCTGACAAACAGAACAACCTGCTTAGCACAACGGTACTCAGTAGAAGTGTCCTACTGTCTGAGCCTTTACCTAGTCAAAAATCACCCTCGCAGTTTTAGATTCGTGTTTTGAAGTGTGTGTGTGTGTGTGTGTGTGTGTGTGTGTGTGTTTACAGGTACCATACCTGTGATAGGTAGGAAGTCAGAAATTGATCCCCAGTGAATGAATTTTATAGCACATTAAAAATGCTACCTTTTCCCAGTGTCAGTTGTGTGTGGAGTGAGGGACAGTCAGAAGTTGCAGCTATCATTTTGTGTTTCAATTTAAAATTCAATTCACTTCACATATTTGTAATTTAACAGTGCGGCAAACATCTGCCGTGTCTTTAATAAGACACCATTCCACATTGCTGCCACGTGTGGAAAGTAGATGGGGACCCCCCATCCCTCCATGCACACACACCTATCAGTTGTGGATGTGACTTCTGTTAGTACCATGCTCTTGCTGGGATCCAATCTCTCATGTCTAATTTAGGCTGAAACTCAAGACGGGGACACGAAAGATCTATTGTGGCTGTCCTGCTTGACGGCTTGGAGAGGGGATTCATTCGGAGATGTATCCAACCAGCTTGAGATGTCAGAGATGTTGATAGATAAGGATAAGAATAAAGGACTCTTTAATAAGTGAAGTCTTACTCTGGTGTCTTAGTTGGGTCCTGTGACAGGGCCATTTCACCAGAACGTCTAGTCTGTCACCTTTGTTACAGGATCTTTTTTTTTTTTTTTGAGATTGTCTTATATAATTTTGGAAGTTCTCAATGCCAGAATTCAGCATACTGTCCCTAAAGCTGCCCCTACAAGCTTCTTTTTCTTGCTGTAAAGATTTGCATGTGGAAAGAAACTCAAGTGGACCCATGGTGACTTTGGCCCAAGGTCCCAGATGTCCCTGCCAAAGACAATGCAGAGACCATAAAGCGCGAGGGACACACTTGCTATTCAGTTTCAATTTAGATGCATTTCTGACTTATTAGTAAATAGCCAGGTGCCCACAGAGTTGGGTGGAGGGCGTCTGGGGAGTGGACTCCCTGCAGTGCCCAGATGCCCAGTGCACATTGCCTAATGTCCTGGGCTCTGCAGAACTTTCGCAAAATTAACACGCTCACCAAATATGTTTTTCTTGCTCATTAACTCGATAAAGCCCACTGGTTTTTTAGAATCACAGCGGCAAGTTGTAAATGATGTATGAAATGAAAAATCTTTTCTTACCCAGTGAACAGGGAGAGAGCGCTGACGGTGCCCATCACTGTTGCTGTGACTGCAATAATGTCTAGACGTGAGCTGTCCTGTAGCAGTGGTGACCTCAGACGTCTAATGGTTCCCTCTTCCTTCACCTGCTGTGTGGCCGAGTCACAGACGACATGGTTGGAAACCAGTGACTGCTCTCTGGGGACTGCAAGGCCTGCGTTCTGAAGGGGGTTGGCATGTCCTTCTTGGGTGCACTGATGTTTGCAGCTTTGCCTTTTGACATTTAGCCTTGTTCTGGGTTAGAAAAGTTTTCCTTGATTTCATTTCTGTGTACATGATACGTGAGTAAACATTTGCATGTTCGTATACCCAGAAATAGGTCAGGCATCAATGAGGAGCAAATACACATAAAAGTTAGATAGGTAAAAGACAGGGACGCAGGCTCTATCCAGAGACTGCCTACAAGCTAGACATCCAGAGCAAGCAATAATTTAGCATTTTTATCCCAAGTGTAATAATTTAGTTGTCTTGTTGTGTGTGTGTGTGTGTGTGTGTGTGTGTGTATGCGTGCTCATGCATGCATGTGTAACTGTCTGTGTATATGTGTGTATATGTGTATATATTTTCTTATGCAGGTGAGCCTGTGTGCAATGTGTGTATGTGTGTGTGTGTGGAGGCCAGAGGACAACCCAGACTCCAGTTCCCTAGACTCTGCAATGACTGTTCTTATCCTGACTGTGCAGGCACCGTCTACCCTCTCTTTGGACTCTCACTGGCCTGGAACTTGGGCTGGATGGCTAGCAAGCCCCAGAGATCTTCCTGTCTCCTTCTCCACAGTTCTGGGATTACAAGTGCACACAAAACTCTTTACAAAGAAGCGGGTTGTGAGGATCGAACTCAGGTCTTCATGCTTACAAGGCAAACATGTCACTGTTTGCTCTCCCCCCCCCCCGTGCTCCTGTTTGTTGTTGCCTTGAGTCGTTACCATGGTTCATGCTTCGAAGTTGGAAACAGACTAATAAATGTCCACCTAGTATTTTATTTTCAGGGTCTCACTGCGTGTATCTAGATGGCACGGAAGTTGCTATGTAGAATAGGTTAGCCTTGACCTTTACCTACCTCTGCCTCTGTTGGATTAAAGACAGTCATCACTAGTGGCTCATCTTATGTCAACTTGACACACAGCTAGAGGTATCTGTAAGGAGGGGCCCTCAATTGAGATAATGCTGTGGGCAAGCCTATAGGACATTTTCTTAGTTAGTGATTGATATGGGGGGCCCAGCCTATTGTGGGTGGTGCCATCCCTGGGCTGGTGGTCCTGGGTTCTATAAGAAAGCAGACTGAGCAAGCCAGTGAGCAGCACCACGGCCTCTGCATCTGCTCCTGCCTCTATGTTTTTGCCCTGTTTGAGTTCCTGTGCAGACTTCCTTTGACAATGAACAGCGATGTGGAATGTGTAAGCCAAATAAACCCTTTCCTCCCCAACTTTCTTTTTCTGTCATGGCGTTTTAAAGCAATAGAAACCCTAACTAAGACGACTAAATAGTGCTTGTTTACTTCTCATGAGGGGAGAGACAAACAATGAGGGAGGGCAGTTTTCACTGGATCTGTCTTATGGCGATGGACTAACATGGATGTGTATGCTGAGTGCTAATTTACCATTCTGAAAAGCCTATGTCAGCAGGGACGCTGCACTATAAGGAGGGAGCTGTGTGTGGGCATGCACTTGTGACCAGGGGCCTGGTGCAAGAGCCCAAAGGCTCACAGACATTAGGCAAAGGCTCACAGACATTAGGCTTTCAGAGAAGACTTCGCTGGCTGTCCCATCCCTGGGCTGGAAAGCCCTTCCCCTCGATCAAGACCGAAGGCTTTCCTTGCACCTTGTTTCCGTGATCGTCAAGCTCATCTCACCTGAAATTGTCTCCCTCTAGGTGTGTGATCATCTGTGTTACCTTCTTAGCTACCCACCTGTGGGTTTCTCTCAAGCTTCAGGGGGCTTTACTGTCTCTTTAAATTGTGGCTATCAAATTCATAGCCCAGATTAAAAAAACAGTGTCACCTCTAAACTTACATGTCTTACTTTTGTCCCCATCACTGTCTGTCCTATCGTGACAATGACTGCACACTTGCTGTATTTGAGTGGACAGAACCAATATCAGAGCTTCCAGCCCCACAAGCAGGAGCTGACTGAGTGAGTAGCTGGGCATTTCCCATCTCTCTTTGAGCTGCATTCAGGGCAGATTACTGGAACACAATTTTCAGGCTGTCTATCCATGTTCTGGCCACCTTAGCAATAGCCATCTAATGGCTTGGGTTATATGACTGTAAGCAGATTGGGGTCATCTTGGTGAGCAGAAGTGACCAAGTCACAGCTTTGGGCTGAGCTCTGTCCATCTTCATGGCATGTGTCTGTTGTCACATTGCTCTAATTTCATCTCTTGCTGTGATAAAACACTCTGACCAAAAAGGGGAGAAATGGGTTTATTTCTAAAGGTTACTGAGAGTCCAGCAGTGAGGGAAGTCAGAGAGGAACACGAAGAAGAAACCATGGTGGAAAATGCTACTTGCTGGTTCCATTGCAGGCTCCTTGTTGTCTTTCTTATACAGTGCAGGACCACCGTTCCCAGGGAATGGTGCCACCCTCAGTGGACAGGGCCCTCCCGTATCGTATCAATTAGCATTCAAGAACCCCCCACATGTCCACAGGCTAGTAAGATCCAGACAACTCCTCAATTGTCCTTCTCAGATGACTCTAGACTCATCAGGTGGACAGTTAAAGCTAACCAAGTCTCAGGATTAAGACTGGCTCAGTCCTGTTCCTCACAGTTTGCAAAGGCAGCTGAAATGAGAGAGGAGACTGAGCCAAGGCTGGCTTGCGTGGCTGTGGGTATCTACATTTATTCCTCTTCACAGAGATGCCTGTGGCTCAAAAGCCCTTCATGCCTCCATCAGTCTTCGGCACACAGACTTACGGGGATGGCAGGCCTTAGTAAAGGGCCTGTCACAGACATCACGACTCTGCAAATACTAGGAGGACCATTATCTGGGGAACTGGGGATGACTGTGTTTTTAGAAGACAGGGCTTCTGCGTCTTGACATTCATACCAGCGAACCCGTTAGTTTCCGTCTCCTCTGTAGACCTCAGTGCTTTAGAGCCGATGCCATTTTGCATCAAGACTAGCAGGTAACCAGTCTGGATCCATCCAGATGTTTTGACAACTGCCTGCCATGAAATAAAACAGTTTTAGACCATAGTAACTCAGAGGCTTCCTAAGATAGAGTCAAGCCAGAAGTGGCTTTGAAGCAATTGTGACAGATGAGCATCAGAAAGCCTGGAGAAGGAGTTGAGTACCATGGTGTGGAAACAAGCCCTGAGCAGACAGGGTGCCTGGCAAAAGGCTGTGAACCTTACTTAGAACCTCTTTAAGGAGAGCAGGAGTGGACCACAGCAAAGGAGTGTAGATTTGATGGAGCGCTTAGAAGACAAAGGAGAGATGTCTGCCATAGAAGGCTCAGCTCAGCATAGCATTACTGCTGAGCATGCCTGCAATGTCTAGATGCCTCCGTCACCCAGAATGCCGGTGCTTTCAATGCCGTTTTTCTCTTTAGAGAAATTCTGGAAGGAGGGGGCTCGGATGTCACCCTTTACCACACTTCATCTACCCGGGATGGCACGTGGGGCTTTGCAGTTTACATATTGTGATAGACACACTCAGCCTTTGAAGCAAGGCACAGAGAACCAGCTAGAAAGATGGAAATAGAAAGCTGGCACCCTGCCTCACTGCAGCCCCCTCTTCAAGGCAAACTTTCTGCTTGGCCTGAGTTGAAAAGATGTCGCCTGCGTGCACACAGGACTTGGTTGGAAGTTGTTCTCTGCAGAATGACCTGTAATCAAAGGGGACATTGCCCCTTAAGTTTTGAGCATGCCAGACATACACTCCACCCAGTAGGACACGAATGCTAACAGGGGATAAGATACCTATGCATATTTATGACACTCACCTCGTGTTTCTGGAACCCCTCTTCGCAGGAGCTCAAAGGCTTTGCAAACGTTACCTCAGGGACTCTGCATGCTAGGGAGGTCCCTGAGAGCATGGATTGCACATTTCCTCACACTGAAACCTGCTAGGGCCCCTCCTGTTCCTCTAGTCCCCAGGAACATGACACTCACAGCCTGGTGACAAGCCATCCGATCGTGAAATTCTTGCCACTCCTACAAAAGTCAGTCTGTTTGTTCTTTCATCTTTAAGGAGGCTTTCACAGTCTAATTGTTTCGTATGCATCTGAGCAGCTCCGGGCCTCTTCCTTGGCACGTTCTTCTGCAGTCACACTGAGCATGCTCAGTCCATCTCAGGATGGGCTGGTCGCTTGATTTCGCTTTACACTGTGTGGGAGGCACTGAAGGATGTGACATTTGGGAGTCTGATCATCCCCAATGTGTTTAAATCTTTGCCCCGATATTTCCTGGCCATGATTCAGGGCACAAGACCCGGCCTCAGTAAGCTTCATCTTCTCTCTTTGAAGTAGGAATCACGTAGGTCCCAACCCCGAGTTCTTATGAGGATTTGGTGAGACAAGAAGGAGTTTTGCACCATGCGTGTCTGAAATAAAGCTGTTCTCCTCCATTGCTGTACGAGACAGTGTTCCTTATTCTGGAACGGACGTGTCGGTGCAAGGCTGTGTGTGTGAGTTCCAGCCTGGAGCAGACAGTGCTGGAGCATGACGCGTTGCCCGCTGGTGTCCTCTGACCACTCTCAGTTTCTTTCCTAGCGATTAGCACTCGCCGTTAAATATTTAGGCATCAGTAACTGAGCCAGGCATGACGGCGCAGACCTGTGAGGAAGGCTGAGGCAGGAGGATCATGACATTGAAGGCGGCTTTGGACATATTGTGTCTGGTGTGATAAGCCCATGACAGAATGAGAAACAATGTAGGAGTTCACTCCTATGGGGAGTGGCAGGCACAGGAAGATCTCCAGTGGGTGGAGAAGGGGAGTGGTGGCTTTATGCTCCCCGGGGAGAACGTCCCCATGCTGGATGAGGACAGAACTCTGGAGATGGATGGCGGTGGTGACCGCACTTACGCTTATGAAAGTGTGCATGCTCCAGCATGGCTGGCTAAGGTGGTTTTGTTTTGTGTGTCTTACCACAACAAGAGAAGAATATCTAATGAGTAATTTTGCAAAGAGAAACTCCTTTAGTAGTGTTAGTAATTAGGCCTTCAGTTTTACGCATTCTCTGCCTGTCAGGTGATCTGTCCTTCCGTTTGTCCGTCGTCTATCCATGCGTCACAGACATACTCTGTACTTGCTCTGTGTCGGACATTTCAGTGTCTCATAAGGACAGCAAAGGGCACAGTGCTCTTTGCAATCTATCCAGGTAAACGAGGTCCTGAAATACATAGAATAGATGGTCTGTGAACAGTAGGTCATTTGTTCCTCATGACACCTGACAGAGGCAGGGAGGAGAATGAAAGATGGAGGAGCCTGGGAGGGAGGGCCAGAGGAGAAAGGGAGTCTTCTCAAGACGAGGGAAATGGCTGGGCCCGTGGCTCAGCTGAGCAGCCACCAGACATGATGTGCTCGCTACTTTCCCTATCACCGTGGCAGAGTACTCCACAAAAGCAACGCCAAGGCGGGAGGATTTAATGTGGTTCATGGAAGTCACCGTGCCGGGGGTGGCTTGCGGGGACGGCCACAGGGGTGTGAGGTGGCAGTCAGCGAGGAGCTCTGGCTGGAACCAATGAAGAGTCGCAAGCACCAAGGCCTTCCCCAGTGACCCTATGTCTGTCAGTTCGGCCCCACCTCCTAAGAGTCCCGCAACCCCCCCAAACTTATCCATAAAGGTTGCCCCAGGTGCTTCCAGTCTTCAGGTGGAGAGCTCTGAATTAGATACCGAATTATCAGAGGGGGTATTTGTGCCAAACATCGCCTGTAGAGTGAACAAATGCTTCTTTCACATATAAAAATTTTCAAATACCTACTGATGTTTCCATTAATAAAATATGCATTTATATTAAAGTGCAACTGATTTCATAGTTTTTTTTTAAAAAGATTATTGCATACTTAAAAAATGTTGGCTATTGCAAATGTCAGGGGAATGTACTTAGGTTTCAGTGAGTCTGGGTTTGAATGCCCGTGTCAACATTGTGTGAGACATTTGCATCACTGTGTCTGCTTCTTTACTGGTAGGGTGGGGTTTGTGACAATGGAATCATCATCACACTGATCAAGGGCATGGCACCGGTGGCAGGCTATGAATATGTTCCACAGCACTTATGAGGGATGCGCGAGGTTCCTCTAAATAAGGCCAGACACAGGTGGGAAGGCTCGGCACTCACCAGCATGGTGATGGGGGGTTGGGGGGTTGGGAGTGGCAGTGAATCTGCCACATGACACGTAACCACCGACTCTCTGGGATGGTTTTGACACAGACGTTGGAGACATTTTCATTTGCGTTAATGAGCCACACAAAAGTGAAACAACATGGCCGGATTCCAGAACTTTATCCGATATGAACGTCTTTGCTCCTGAATCGATGGTGGCTTTGATGACTGGCACTTCAGGTCACAGGTAAATGGCACTTTGTCCTTCACCCTGCATTTCTCCACCCTTTCATTTCATATTTATAATTTTAGTTATGTGGATTCATGAGGTGCAATATCATAATGTAATACCTTCGAGGATGTATACCTATCAAATCAGGGTGTTGATCATTCTCCTGTCCTGGAGTGTTTGTGCACAGGTGTGTGCACATCCTTGTCGAGCCTGGGGTTGATGCTGGCTGTCTTCTTAGACTGCTCTACCTGATTTATCGGGCCAGATTTTGTTATAGAGTCCAGAGCTCGCCAGTTCCAGCTAACCAATTTGACAAGCTTGCCTCAGGCAGGCCCTGTCTCTGCCTCCTGAGATTTGGGATTAAAGGAGGCTGCCACACCCTTCTGGCTTTTGCTGGGTTCTGGGTGGTCTTAGCTCTGGCCCTTACACTTGCATGGCAAGTGCCTTACCTGTGGAATCTTCTCCCCAGCTCACGGCTTTTTACCTGAACGCTGGTGGGTCCAAGCTTAGGTGCTCATATGTACTCTTGATAGACTGGTCCATCTCCCCAGCCTCTGTGAACAGATTTTTTGATCAACATGTAATGACTGAACATTTATTGGGTATATCCATTGCTTTTAAAAATCTAGGTCAAGGATGGGCTAACTAACTTTTGTGGAAGGGCCTAGGGAGTACGGAGTTTAGGCATTTTTGGTTAAAATGCTTTGATGGTTGTAGAAGAAGCATCAAAACATCCAGGTACCCATGTGTGAATGACTGGGTACCACTGAGTCCAAGGACAATTTTACTCACAAAGAATAGGTAGTAGGGCCTGGTGAAGTGACTCAGCTGGGTAAATGTGCTTGCTGCCCAGCCTGGAGCCATGAGTTCAAGAACCCAGTCGAGCAGGTTGTCCTCTCACCCTCACACGTGCATACACGCCCCCCAAAGTAAAAATAAAAATAAATATAAATGCACGGCAACATCTCCAGGCATTGAGGTTGCTAGATGTCCAGAGGCTCTGAGAGAGGAAAGGTCTTCTATGTCTGGCTCCTCTGCGCTTCTCTCCTGACCACGTGTGCGGGATTCTCCGACACCGGATAGTTCTCTGCCTCTTGGGTGTCCTACCATTCACCTCAGTTCCGACACTATTTCTGGGGACTTCTGCCTATCCAGGCTGCCACCTATGTGTCACTGACTGGTTACAAACCAAAGGTACCACCTCTCCGAGTTTTTACTAAAGGCTACCAGGGTTCACGGAACTCTCTGGAGTTGTGGCTTTTCCCTCCTTCCGAGTGTGTTCCTTCTCACCTCCAGACAGCTGTTGTTCATTGCAGAGGCCAACTTAGCTTCCTTCTCTCTTCTACTCACTGATGGTGTCCCTCTTCCAAATTTTATATATCAACCGAAGAGTACTACACAGAGGAAAATATTTTTTTTCTACTCTGATGTGGTTTCCCACGTCTTTTAGGAAAATTTCCCTCAAGTTGGAGCTCAGAGTTTTATTAGATCTAATAAATCACGTCGGAGATGGGAAGGAGATCTGAAGTGGACACATGTTAGGAGCCTGCTTCTCTCTTTAGATTACTTTGAGCCCAGGGTTTCAGAGACTCAGTGTGTTCCAACTCCACAGATGGTGCTCTTGGAAGATTCATTTCTCTCCTGAGGTTCCTAGGGTCCTCCTGACTTACAATCTGAGCTAACGGGGTCCTGGGATGGAGTGCTTATCCCACACCCATATGCTGAGAGTGAGCCCTGCTTACCGGACAACCCAGCAGCAAGTGCCATAAAGCCATAGATAAACATCAGTAATCCTGTTTCCCTGGGCTGTGGGATCCACTCCAAATTGGAGGTCTAGTGGGGGTTCCCCAAGTAAACAGTCTTGAAAATCTATACATAGAGAGGAGTGTTAGATGAAAGCTGTATCCTGCACTTAATTTTAGTATTATTCTACAAGATTAGCAGAGATGAAATTTACCTTGGAAAAGAGAACTGACAGAGGCCACAGGGAGCAGAAATTCTCTTTGACTTGCAGTTTGCAAGGGAATGAGTTCCGTCTTTCCTGCCTTCTCTTCCTTCTTGTTGGTGACACAAAGACCTTCTCTCTCTTATGCTTTGAAGAGGCTGATATTTGGGTCCTGTAATGGTACCTGGAGGATGTCATGGCAAGTGGACAACCTTGTGGTTGGTATTCCTTCTTAAGTCAGAGTTCTGGCTTGATCTTGTTTTTAAAGGAGCAGAGCTGGTGTGTGGAGTCCAGCATGTCTGCCTGTGACTATGCCACTGGGAAGCATGATTTGATTTCTACAGATGCCTTTTTTGGTGTGTGTGTATGTGTGTGTGTGGTGACTTTATTTTCATGGAACTTTAATAGAATGTATTCTGTGTTTGCCGGGTATGCAGACAGACTCCAGTAAAGCTTCCAAACTGGAGAATCCAGATGGGCTGGGACATTGTGTCTTTTTTTTCTTTCTTAGTTCCCTTTTATGCATTTATTTGTAAATTTTGATTGGTTTTTCATCTTTCAAAGTGTTCAAAACACACATGTACCATCATTACTGTGAATATGTTACCAACAAATCTTGGGTGCTTCTACTGATGGGACAGGCTCCCAGAATCTTCTGGAATGTAGCAGCAAGCCATTACTATCAACTCATCTATATGGAGGCAAAAGTATACGGGTTATTTGTAGGATCCCAGTCTCTCTGGCTTCTGTTTCCTCTGTCTCCACAGTAGACTGTGGAGTTTCTACTTTGGTTT